GACACAGACACAGACACAGACACAGACACAGACACAGACACAGACACAGACACAGACACAGACACAGACACAGACACAGACACAACCCGACATAGACACAGACACAGACACAGACACAGACGCAGACAGACAGACACACACAGACACAGACACGGACACAGACACAGACACAGACACAGACACAACGCAGACACAGACACACACACAGACACAGAACAGACACAGACACAGACACAGACACAGACACAGACACAGACACAGACACAGACACAGACACAGACACAGACACAGACACAGACACAGACACAGACACAGACACAGACACAGACACAGACACAGACACAGACACAGACACAGACACAGACACCGACACAGACACAGACACAGACACAGACACAGACACAGACACAGACACAGACACAGACACAGACACAGACACAGACACAGACACAGACCCAGACACAGACACAGACACAGACACAGACACAGACACAGACACAGACACAGACACAGACACAGACACACACACAGACACAGACACAGACACAGACACACACAGACACACACACACAGAGACACAGACACACACACACACACACACACACACATGCGGGCAAGCACACACCAACGCACGCGTCAACGCACGCACCAACGCACGCACCAACGTGCGCAACAACGCACGCGCCAACACGCGCAACAACACGCACGTTGACGCATGCACCAACAAGCGCACTAACGCACTCATGCGCAGGTGCACACATTCATTCATTCATTCATGACAGCCTTCGGATGCGTCTCTCATCCACTGAGCAAGCAGCGGCTCTTTCGCTGCAGATGAAACCAGCGCACGCGCCACACAAATTCCGAACCCAAAAGCCGTTTAACCAAGCAATGGTCAAGCAATGGTAAAGAGCTCGAGGCAATGGTCCAGCACGAAGCTGAGAGCCGGCCCTGCGCTGACGAGTTGCTGCAGGTGCGGCGGAGCATCTTGCGAAGCTTTTTATGGTTTTGGACGGTTGAAGGCTCTCAAGGCTAGGCTTCGGGTTGAGCTGTTGGCGTCGATCGAAAGGTGTGTGTTTGTGACGTTCTGGATTACCGCAGTGTTTAGGCTTTTTCCTCTAAAATCGGGGCTGCTTAGAAAGGAGTGGAGGAAGTACTCATGTGGAGGATCGCGCGCAAACGTGCAGCAGGATGTTTCGCCATCTCACGTCGCGCTTCAGAAAGTGAAAAGGTTTTGCAGATCCCGTTCTGGCGAGTTTGACCAAGCCTTTCGAGGTCAGCGAATTTGTGAGTCGAGCTATACTTTGGATGTTGAGTATGAACATCAAAGCTAGTTCGTGTCGAAACTGGCATAGGATGGGGAGCTTAAGACGAAACCTGTGGGCTGGTTCCAAGGTCTCACCACCAACTTGTTCAAGCTCACCCATGGTCGCCAGAAAGTTGTCTTGAAGCTTCATAGTTTCTGGCAATTACCACCAACCAACAAATGACAGCCACAGCAAGCGCCGAGCAGCAGGCGCACGACGAGATGGCGGCAGAAGCGCAGAAGCGCCAGCACCCAGTCCGACGGTCCTGTAAGACCCACAGCTAAGGACCCTAGCAACATTCCGAGAAATTTACAGCTCAAGGGATTTGAATAATTACAGCTCCTATATATTCCGGGGAGGAGGGCATCGTCGATGTTGCTGATGCTGATGGTGTGCTCAACAAACTGGTGCGCCCGCAGCCCCCTTTGTCCAGTGACACGTCAGCTTGAATCATCTCCGTAACTTCTAGTGGATGAAGCTAGGCTCGGGCCAGACATACCCTTGAATTGAACCCATGCTGCCTTAAATGTCCTTTTCTCTTCCCAGCCCTCGGTGAAAAAAACCTACACTCTCAGACCTAAACCCTGCACCCTCAACCCCTAAACCCTCAAGCCCTCCACTCTCAACCTCAAATAGGACTAAGCTGGAATGGCAGGAATTCCTGAAGCGTGTGCCGCCCTGAGGCAAACAGAAAAAAGGGCTCGAAAATGCGCCGGCACCTCAGTCATCGTCACAGATACCATCATACGAGCATTATGTTTGATGATAGTGGGGGGGGGGGGGGGGGGGGGGGGGGGGGGGGGGGGGGGGGGGGGGGGGGGGGGGGCGGGGGGGGGGGGGGCGGGGGGGGGGGGGGGGGGGGGGGCGTCCCCCCCCCCGGCTTGCATTCCGCTTGCTTGAATCCGTGACCATCATACGAGCGTTAATGGGGGCCCCCCCCCGCCCCTCTCCCGGTTTTAAAATCCATCCAAAGCTTGCCAGGACGAACCTGATGCCATCCAAAACGTGAGTCCTGTCCAAAGCGGTCATACGAGCATTGTGTTTGCAGTTGGGGGGGGGATCAACCTCTGAACCTCAATGCCAAAAGATCCCAGAGGCCCTAAACCATTCACCCTAAACCCTAGACCCTACACCTGCAGAGGCTGCAGACCATTGCCGAGCGCCCCGGCTCACTTTGGCAACCTAGGAGAAAATAGGGTTCACCTTTCTGGTTGAATTAGGCTTAGAAGCGATCCAAAAAACAAAAAAGGGAATAGGGGCTTCTGGGCGTCCGAATCTATGCCTTCTAGAACCCAATGCCCCATACTTGAAGACCATCGAAAGAAGGTAAGAGGCCAGCCAAGGGGTCATGGATCCACCCATAGATGTCAGGGCGTTCGGCCTGATCACCTCCCCCCCCAATTTTAAGATTGGGATCCCTTCCAATGCCCAAGAGGGGTGAGGGTTTCGGATGTACTTGGGGTGTAGGGTTTAGGATGAAGGGCTAAATCCCAAACCCAAAGCCCTAAATCCTAAGCCCTCAAACCAAAGTTCCTCAATCTTAAGTCAAAGCTAGCCCAGGATTATTGTGTGTTCCTGTTTGAGCCGGAGGCGCGCTGAAAATGCTAATGTCCAAGAGACAGGACTGCGGACAATAGAGAAACGCCTGTTGCTTGGGTGGTGGTTGGGTTGATGGGTGGTCGTGGGGCAGCAAAGCCTTAAGCCACAAGCACTTGTCTGGACCAGATGCATGTCCTCTTGAGATATGCTTGTCGTAGTGAGCAATGGCAAGAAGCTCGACACGGTTATGTTTTATTATATATTATCCTCACGTCCCCCTAAACCCCTGAGCCCTAGATCCTAAACCTGCAGAGGCAGCAAACTGCCACGCGCCCCGGCTCACTTTGGCAACCTAGGAGAAAATAGGGTTCACCATTTTGGTTGAATTAGGTTTATAAGCGACCTAAAACAAAACGGGAATAGGAGCTTCTGGGCGTCCGAATCTATGCCCTTTAGACCCAAGGCCCCATACTTGAAGACCCTCGAAAGAAGGTAAGAGGCCAGCCAAGGGGTCATGGATCCACCCATGGATTTCAGGTCGTTCGGCTTGATCACCTCCCCCCTAATTTTAAGATTGGGATCCCCTCCAATGCCCAAGAGCGGTGAGGGTTTCGGATATCCTTGGGGTGTAGGCTCTAGGATGAGCTAAATCCCAAACCCACAGCCCCAAACCCTAAGCCCTCAAGCCAAGGTTCCTCAATCTTAAGTCTAAGCAAGCCCAGGATTACTGCAGCTTCCTTTTCGCTCCCGTGGCGCACTGGAAAGGCAAGTATTCAAGAGAAAAGGTTGCGGACAATAACGTGACATCTGTTACTTGGGTTGAATGTATTAGGGGTGGTTGGGTTGATGGGTGGTCGTGCAGCAAAGCCTTAAGGACAGCCACAAGCACTTGTCAGGACAGATGCATGTCCTCTTGAGATATGCTTGTCGTAGTGAGCAATGGCAAGAAGCTCGACACGGTTATGTTTTATTAAGAATATGAATATGTTACCTTCGAGTTGTCAGGGCATCCATGGGGCTGCCAGCCCCGACCCCAAATACAGTCTTAACGTCTCTAAGCTCCTCGAAGCCCAAGGACTCCCTTACCCCCTTACATCCTCTAAGCTTCTCCCCAGAGAGGGTTGTTGTCGGCGCCGAGAATTTGCGGGTGCCCCACCGCCAGCGCCCCGCATCAACAATAACGAAGACTCTTCTCGAAGACCACCCTTAAAATGCTTGAGCGAGGACTTCGTGGCAGAATGTGTCTGTCAAGTACATGCAAATAAGCAAACTCTCTCACCGTTTCGCAGCCATTCTGCTTCTGCATGGCAGGGAGCTGCACGGTGTTTGCTGCTTTGACCTGAACTGCATGAGAATGCAAACTGCATGACAACGCGACCTGCATGACGATGCGTTTTTTGTGAATCTGGAGCTTTCAGTAGCGAAATCCATTTTTGTTGTAGATCATAATGGGCGTCTTCCGAGACACTCAAGAAAAGCATGGATTCCCCGAATGCTCTCCGCTTGGCCGTGGACCTTTTGCAGGACCGGTGGTTCAGAAACGAGCGGAGAGAATTTGCCTGTATGACGTTTTGGGTGTTGCAAACGGATCAGCAAGCTCATGGATTGGGTTGCCGTGTTAAGAGCGAACTGGTGTTTTTGCCTAATGACACGTTGGAGCTATCAGCCCCAAGTGTGCAATATGTTTTACGTCTTCGGACCAAAAGCTACAGCAGTCTCCTGTAGGATTTCAAATCGCTATTCTCACCAATTCCCCAACCATCACTGTAACACTTAATCCACACCTGTGATTCGAGCGTCAGCTGAGAAGTCGCAAGCAAATGTTTGTCTTTCAGCACGTAAAGGTTGCTAGTTCCGAAGTGCCAGGACGCGTTCGGAGATGTGGTGGCCAAGATTGCTGGAATGCTGCTGGAACGGGGGCAGTTGACCATCCGAGAGATCTTGGCCTTCGGCAAGGAGGAAACGGGGCAAAACAAATTCTTTCAGTGGCAGTCGGCATGTATTGGCAGGAGACAAACAGGTTTCGAATTGAAAGGGCTTGGAAGCCTCCGTGGATTTTGTGAAACTGCAGGAGAGCTTTGACGATGAGGAACTGCCGTTTCAGCAGGTCCGCAACGCCATGCTGGTGCTGACGCAGCACGGTCTGGTCAATTGTCATCCGTTCCGGCAGTCGCAAGATGGGAAATGCCATGTCCAGGCGCGCCCTGACGCACCATGTGCGGCAGTTGAACAAGTGAGGTTGTAGAATCGTAGAGCTTTTCCTTCTACGTCACAGGTGTATGCCTTGGACATTGATGAAGTCCTTGCGCGCGTTCGCTTCCCGCAGTACTTGGAGTACGTGAGACGCAAGTACGGTGAGCAGGACAGCGCTCAAACCGGCTCCCAATCTTTCCAATCTCTCCAAGCCTCCAAGCTTTCAAGCCTCCAACCTTGACCCCCCACTTTGATCCAGGGGCAGGAGCTGCTGGAAGTGGTGTTGAAGTTCGGCCGTGCTGCCCAGCAAGTGTTGCTGGACGAGGCCTTCGGGTTTGAGGGTTCAAGGCTCAATAGCTCAGAGACGTGCGCCCTACACCTCCATACGCAAATGCGTTTGGAACACCCTCCAAAGTCCCAAGCCCCCCACAAAATCCCAAACCCGAAACAATTTGACGATGCCTTCATAGCGTCATCAAGGCGGCTCGCTCTAACCTCAGAGAAACGCCCCACGCCCGTATCGTCAAACCCTCAGCCCATAAACTCTAGACCTCGTGAAGTCGATATCTCCTCAGCCCTCAGGCGGCATCCGCTTCGGGCATTTCTGCCGAGATACTTGAGGAAGCTTGAAGGGTTCAGGGATGAGGATTTCGGGCTCGAGGTACTGGGCAAGCACGAAGCTGAAGCACCCCAAAACCAGAGGGTCGGCGCGATCGGAGTGAGGAATGCTGCATGTTGAAGTGTGCAGAGTCCCAGAGACACGTCGGCTGGTTAGGAGACCTTGAAAAATTTGGTTACGGAGCGGATCCTGCGTCCAGTCGATGCCGGAGACCGGTGCTTTGACTGATATTATCCTCAAGGTAGTATCTCAGGCTTGAGGAAGGTCTGCCCTTAGCGTAAGCTCGTGAAATTCAGGAATTTCTGAACCTTATGAGCAGTGAAACTCAGGACTCTGAACGAGCGAGTTCAAGCTGGGCCTACGGCCTCCCCATTCTCTGTCAGCAGAGGCCTGTTGTTGGAAGTACGCGTTCAGAAGACAAATATTTGCGTAACGCGACACCCTAGCCAGGTTTTCGGGCCACCCTCAGAAGTGTTGGTGCTGTTGAGCTTCGCTCTGGCTCGGTAAGTTGTGCTACGTACCAACGTCATCTTTTCTTGCTTTTGACTCAGGTCTTTGCTGGCCCATCTCCACCCAAGCCCAGAAGCCCAAAAACATTGGGTCGGGGCTTTGGGCTTTGAAGTGTTTGTGGATCATTTCTAGACAGGAGAAACGCAGAACGCATGCAGGTGTAGCGGGGTGAAGGAAGCTATGACATCAGCCTCCGCACAGACTCAATCACTGTCACACTTTCAATCGCCTTGACTTTCCCCAACGTTCAAGCCTCAAGAATCAAATAAAGTTCTTGACTTTGTCATAGTGCCTGATCGCTTGCACCGCACCTGTTTCCGTTCCGACTGAGAAGGATGCAGGATTGTAACCTGTGTCGAACGCAGCTGTGCCCTGTGGGTTGCATATGGCCGTGACACGATGGGAGTTTGACCGTCTAAAGCCCTGCACTGCTTCACACCCACCGCCCAGGGAAGGCCCAAGGATCCCAGGCTTCGCGAGGGGCGAAGGCGCCGAGGCCCGAGGAACGAAAGAGGCGGTTGGAGGCCCAGGGCTTAGGGCTGCCATTGTTTAAGTTGCCAAGGCATGGGTTAGGGCATTGCTCGGGCACTTTATGTGGCATTTCTAGGGCTGTGCGGTTGGTATGATGTCGTACGTGGGCTCACGATCTGGCATCGTGACTTCAGGACTGGTGATGGGGTTGTCAGAGTCAGTAGTTAGTTCAACTTGCGGGGCCTTGGAAGCAGTAGCAGCACCGCCACCATCAGCAGCACCAGCACCAGCACAAGCACCGGCAGCCTGAGCATCATCGTCATTTTCCGGAGAAAGGATTGGAATTACCAGGTACTGTCATGGGGGCTGATGTTCAGCAGTTCCAGGTTTAGGTTTCGGTGGTCACGCTGGAGGTGGATGATCTCATAGCTGGCACGCCGGAGCCCATCAAAGACGAGGAGCCGGCCAAAGAGGAGCCAGCCAAAGAAGTGAAACAGGACAGGTCCCAGGATAGCTTTTCAAGCGCATACTTCTGAAGCCTTTGAAGCCTAAGCTTCAGGCGGTCTACCGTTTCGACAGGGTGAACCTTGACCTTTGTCTTCGCAAAGCCGCTCTATGCAGGCTGGTGGAGGACGGAGGGGCATTCAGACCAGCAAGGCATCTAGCTCGAAGCATAAAAAAAAGCAGTTGAGAGAAGGAGCAATTGGGTGACAACGAAGCCATGGCGATGTTTGCCTTGCTGCATTTTGTGGTTCTTAACCACAGCTGCTCGGCTCTGGACTTGCAGCTTCAGGAGTACGGCAAGCACTTCATACTCATGCCGTCTCGGGTCATACTCCTTGCCTGCAAAGGTGGCGAAGGCGTGACTACGAAGTACGCCGACCTGGAGGAGATATATGCAAGATACCTGGGTTGGAGCCCAAGAGCCGCCAGGTGCTTGCAAGTTTGAAGTGCTGTCTCCTTGCATGGAGAGATCACAACAGAATCAGGCTCGAGACCCGAACTTTCTTGAGCCTCCACTCAGAATTGGTCCAAAAGCTGTCAACGGATCTGTGTGCAGGGTTGGCCAAGAGCGAGGGCCGCGACCCATCGCGGGTCAAGGAGAGACGAGCTATAGGAAGTGATGGGGGTTGCGACATCCAGAGGCTTCCAATTTGTGTGCAATCCCGTTGAAGTGCAATCTTCAGCTCACAGGAGAAGCTGCGCGGCAACCTCGACCGCCTGGCTACGCACAAGGTCCGACCTGTCGGGTTTGGGGCATGAGGTTGGGTGATCTCAGATGACTTCAGGGTCGAGGGCTTTGATCGTGAGTGGAACTCTGTCCGCCCATAGCATCATACTCATCATACTTTGGATCGATGCGATCCCCGCGCGAAACGGCTGGTGTTGACGGTGCTCATGTGGGTGGCAGTGGGTGGCTTGATCGACGGCTCACTTCGGGTGCGCGTTCGGTGGCTCATCCCAATTTGCCACTGACTGCTCGTTTTCACAAGCTTGGGGCATCCATGGCCATATTCGTCAATCTGGTGGGTTGGTGGCTCACGCTCGGTGGCTTACTCCAGTCAGGTCACTTGGTGGCTCATGTTCGGTGGCTGCTCAATCCGTGGCCTTTGCTCGTGCATTCGATGGCGATATCCGGTGGGTCGGTGGCTCGCGGTCGCGGTGGCTGAATTCAGTGGCTAAGTGGCTTAGGTTCGGTGGCGGCTGAATTTGCCAGTTCTTCTCGTGTGGTGGCGAAATCTGCTGGATTTTCGCCGTGCTTGTCTCCTTTCGTGTAGGCTCCGTCGCATTTGGGGAGGCTTGTCTCCCCTTTGTCTCCTTCTCTCACCTTCTTGTGTCGCTTTCCTGTGGCCAGTTCAACTATGCCAATGTGCCCATGAGATTTCACTGCCTTTCACGAAGATAGGGAAATCCAGTATACAAAATGCGTTTCTTGCTCACAAGTGCTCCCTGCGGGCCTGACTTCGTTTCCACAAGATGAGCAGTTACTTCTTGACAAGAAGTCTGCGGAAGGCTTTGCCCGGAATTCTCGCAACCCTCGTCCCCATGCGTTATGCTCAGAGCCGTGCAGGACCAACTTCTGCGGAAGCGGGTCTCCGCCGTGAAGGAAGGGGGGTGGGGAAGCGGCTAGGGACAAGAGGCTGTCATGTTCTGTCGTGTCATTTTGCCAGGACGCCGACATGAGCGAGTGGATTGTGGACTGGGACCGTGCGTGTGAATGCCTGCGCAGCATGGCCCTCTCACAACTCGTCCGGGACCGCTTTGGCAAGATCGGCCTGCGGATTTTCAACCTCTTGTTGGAGGAGAATCCGCCCCAGGTGGGCCTGTACAGTTTTAGCACAGTCAGTGGTGTGGATTCACTTGATTTGCGAATTTACGACTTGGGACTAACAGTGAGCTTTGGTTTGTACGAGTGGCGACATGCGTACGCACTGCTGCAGTGCTGCAGACTTCTGTGGGTGAGTGAGATCAATATCGTTGAGGTTCAGGGAGAACATGCACCACTGTGAGTAAGCTCTCATATCCCGACGCGTAGCGTCAAGTGTTTCTGACGCAGCCTCTGCAGGACATGCCAGACCCATCTTCCACCTCCAACCCAAAAGCCCTTAAGCTGCAAACCGTCACGCCATGTCACGCCCCGCAGAAGCTGGAAGAGGGCCAGATCTTCAAGATAGCCATGATCCCCATCTTGGCGCCTGGGCTGTTCATTCCTTTCGGGGATGCTTTGTTTCGGAGAGGAGAAGGGAAAAGGGTCTTGAAGTACGCCTTAGGCTTAAAGTTAAACCACTTCTGCAAAGCAGGCGTTTGCTTCTTCCTTCACAAGCGCCAAATCTGAAGTCAAACGTCAAAGAAGACATTGGGAAACACAAATGCTCAGAAACACAATCAAACAACAAGAAGATATACAGTAGCCTGCAACTCATTGTAAATCGTGGATGCACAACCATTCTTGACCATACCTTTGTGACCATACGATTCGGTCATGTTTCTGGTCATGTCCTGGTAGGAGTTGCTGCCGGAGACAAACTGAAGGAAAAGGGAGAAGGGGTGCGGGTTTTCATGCTGCTGCCCTCAATTATATCTGCTGTTCTATTGCCATGCCATGCCGATGCCAGAAGCACGAACATTCTAATATGTGTCCATGGATGATGACCCACCTCCCTCCCTATCCCTAAACCCTAAACCCTAAACCCTAAATCTTAAACCCCTAAACCCTAAACCCTGATCCCCCTCGCGCCTTCTCTCTTTGGCCTCTTTCTGCTTTTTGCCCTCTGAGGATGGCCGGGAGTTGCTTCAGGCCATGGCGCGGAGCTGCGTGCTGTCCTGGCAGCAGGCTGCCCCCTTCCCCTCTTTCCCCCATCCATTTTCCCCTCCCAAAAAGGGATCCTGAAAGAGCGCGGGCCTCCCTCTGCGTACTCCTCTTGCGACCTCAGGCTTCTGTTTTGGAGGGAGCTGGTGTGTAGATACTGAAGGCTTGAGGACGGCTGGTTTGGCAATTCAAGCCTTCGGTCGTTCATTGTCTGATTTTTGTGCTTGTGGCCATGTTTCAAATCGTAAGTCGATGGCTTTGGGTGTCCGTCAGTTGCTGCTTTCGTAGGGGTGTTGCAGGATCGCCGAGGGGTATCTTTTGACTCCGGCATGAAGATTGCAATACGGACAACATGACATCGCCATGAAGGACACGGACAATTCAGCCGCATTCTACAATGCCATACCAGAACCAGAACTGCTGGACGGCTGGTTTTGAATTCTGAAACCTTGAACCTCAAGCTTGCTTTCTTCAGGTTGCTCGGAGCAGTGACGGCGCCGTCGCGAACTCCGTGTGGCTCTACTACGTTGCCTCTGGGCCGGAGACAGAGTTGGGCTCTGTTGGGGTTGCAGGGTCTACGCCCGGTTTACGCTGGCCTTCAAGTGGCGGCGCAGACACCGGCTAGAAGACCTCAAAGAGCTGTCACAGCTTGGACAGCTGTCAGGTTTGTCCTGATCCGACAGCGGGATGTTGCTGGTTCCTTCCGGTTGCTTCTGGTTCCTTCTGGTTCGTACAAATTCTTGCAGGTTCCTTCTGGTTCCCCGCAAATTCCTACAGGTTCCTACTGGTTCCTTGTACCTCTGATGCCATGACCTCAGGGTTTGGGCAAGTCAAGGACATGCGCCGCGTGGTTCCATCCATGCTGGACCTGGCCTACAACTCCATCCTGAACCTGAGGCAAGCTCGAGCACCTTGCGAACAGAGGTTGTTGGAGGGGACAAAGGGTCCAGGGCTTCCAGGCTTAAGGCTTGTTCGTTGCATGCCATCGGTTGGGTTCGGTCGCCTTTGTCGCAAAAATTCTCACAAAGTAGATGCACAAAGAGCTGACGGAGAGGTTTTTATGTGCGACGGCTCTTCACCCGGTGGGGCTTGGAGCTAGCATGAGCCCTCCCCCCCCCCCCACCCACCTCGGGTCCGAGACCCGTGCGCATTGCACCAATTCTCAACCCGTATCCCAAAATAGTCCACATTAGGTAAGCTGAAGCTGGTGCGTGAACAGGCCTGATGGAACCTGCATTGAGTGCGTTGTTTCTCAGGGTAGTCTATAAGGACTTGGTGATGAATCGTGGGTTGTAAGTGCCGCTGAACTTCCACGAGCTCGCGGGGAGGCAATTGCGAGTTTAGCCTGCAAGCCACGAGAAGCCTTAAGCTTCGGCCAGGATCCGGTTTCGGGCCGAAAGCGCCCGCGTGGCGCCCATGGAGCCGCTTCGGCTGCGGTCAGCCTTGGCAGTGTTAGGCCCTGTGAAGGCTTTCAAATCTGGAGAGCCTAGAGCTCCGATCAAGAGCGCGAAGAGTTTAGAGTTTAGAATGCGAAGGCCAGAAACTTTCACCCTAAAACCCTAAACGCCCATCAACATGTTTTAGCATTTTTGCAGGTCAGTGGGGAACTTTTTTGCCCGTTGATCCAAAGGAGCCTGTTTGCTTCGGTCCTTCATTTCAGGAGCCGGGCCCTGTCGCTGGGGTCCCGCGGCCGGCAGAGCCTGCGTATGGGTCGCCGAAAAGAGGCCTCTTCTGCTCCGCCTTTTTGTGGTTTCCGCAAGCCTTGAAAGGGAAGAGGCGGCCCTGGGCCAGAGTTGCATCCCTTGAGGGTGTGTTTTTGTTCGGCCCATGTCTGCGCCCATGAACTCCGCCTAGAAAGGCCATAGAAAATTCGTCAGAACATTCCTTCCAGCCCTAAACCCTAAACCCTAAACCCTAAACCCTAAACCCTAGACCCTAGACCCTAAACCCTAAACCCTAAACACCAGGACCTCCTCGAGCGCTCCTTCCTTGTCCTGGATGCTGTGCCGCTGCTGTGTCGAAGCGTCCGGTGAAGGAAAAAAAGGATCCTAAACCCTAAACCCTAAACCCTAAACCCTAAACCCTAAACCCTAAACCCTAAACCCTAAACCCTAAACCCTAAACCCTAAACCCTAAACCCTAAACCCTAAACCCTAAAAACCCTAAACCCTAAACCCTAAACCCTAAACCCTAAACCCTAAACCCTAAACCCTAAGCCCTAAGCCCTAAGCCCTAAGCCCTAAGCCCTAAGCCCTAAACCCTAAGCCCTAAGCCCTAAACCCTCAACCCTCAACCCTCAACCCTCAACCCTCAACCCTCAACCCTAACCCTAACCCTAAACCCTAAACCCTAAACCCTCAACCCTCAACCCTAGACCCTAAACCCTAAGCCCTCAACCCTAAACCCCAGGGGTTCACTGTGTTGCTGGCTGCAGAACATCCTTCGGCGCCCTAAACCCTAAACCCTCAACCCTCAACCCTCAACCCTAGACCCTAAACCCTAAGCCCTCAACCCTAAACCCCAGGGGTTCACTGTGTTGCTGGCTACAGAACATCCTTCGGCGCGGAAGTCTAACTTACAAAGCCAGATCCGCGACAAGAATAAGTGCAGATGGCAGATGGAATGGGGTGTATGCTGGGGGCCCCCCTCTTTTGGGAGACTACTAGGACAACGGGGCCTGGGTTTGCCGTGGACTTTCTGGAAATGTGCGTTTTACATGGGCTTTCCCACGATTCTTGAAAAACAGTCTCCAAAATGTACCAAACAAACGACTTGATTTCTTACTTTTTGCTGCTTGATTCTTACTGTTACGTTGTGTTTCGATTTCTGAGATACACTGTGTGAACCCGGAGCCTAATCCCTTAGTATGTTGTACAAAGAGGCAAAAGCGCTGTAAATACCAGTGTTCCGGGCCTGGTCGCCAAAGGCATGGACGCTTGTGACAGCTTTTCTTGTTCCATATCCTTACACAGCATGTTGTACAAAGAGGCGAAAACGCGGTAAATACCAGTGTTTTGGGCATGGTCGCAAGTGGCATGGACGCTTGTGACAGCGCTGTATGTTCTGCAAAGGGCGCCAAACGCATGGACGCTTGTGACAGCTTGTTCCACATCCTTGTGCAGTATGTTGTACAAATAGGCAAAACCGCGGCGCATACCAGTGTTCTGAGCATGGTCGGGAACAGCATGGACGCTTGTGACAATTTGTCTTGTTCGACATCCTTGTGCAGTACGTTGTACAAAGAGGCGCAAACATTGTAAATACCAGTGTTTTGTGCATGGACGCCATATGAACGACGTTCTTATCCCCCCCCCCTCGCCCCCCTCCCCCCCCCGACCCCCACACCCCCCCCCGCACCCCCCCGCACCCCGCCCGCACCCCCCCACCCCCCACACCCCCCCCCACCCCCCCCCCCCCCCCCCCCCCCCCCACCCCCCACCCCTAATAAAAGAGTACCTAGATGTGGGCCGCAATAACCGTATTATTTCGTTCATATTAATGTTAATTTCGTGCTTTCATTCACTGCGCTCATTCATTACAAGTTAGTGCACTCTTTCTCTTCACTTTGTAACCGGCCCAACAAGAAGATATAAAGGGCCGTAAAGAGAAGAGAGAAAAGATAGTGTTAATAAGGGCGCAGAGAAAGGAACAAGTAAGCGCCCGAAAAAGACCTCATAAAATATTACTATTTTTCTAGCCTTTCTCTCACACTCATCACTCCCTAGCCTTTCTCTCACACTCATCACTCACTCTTTTATTACTGCGGGCGAGAGAAAAGAATATTATAAGCCCGCATGCAATTGTAATAAAATACACGGTGTCTTGTGCATTAGAACCGAAGACCAGTTCATTCATATCCTCACAGTCAGGTTCTTGCGCTCCGTTCGTGCATTCATTACGTTTATTGCGTTCACTTCGCTCCCTTCTAAACTAATTCATGTACTCTCTTCACTAATACGAACATAAAGTGTAGTGAATGTGTGAATAAGAGAATGAACGAGCCTGCGAATGAATGAACTCAATGAGCACAAGAACGCGACAACAGGATGATGCCTGGCAAAATAAGCCATTTGTCTGAAGACATTTGGAACAGATGGCTCAATCTGCTCCAGGAGCTTAGTTTATCTGGATGGGGAACAGGTACTCAAGTACCCCTACCGGCAGCAAGCGACAGCGTGGCGTCAGATTATGATGATTGAGTACCATCTGCCATGGTGTCTGAGCATGACTGAGCACAGCAGTGGGACATCTGCATTCGGAATCTCCCCCTGACAGCCCCCCCCCCCCCCCGTGGGTGGCTTAAATAGGGTCTATTTGGAAGCTGAGACTCGGGTTTTTAGACTAACCAATGCGTCTCCACGAGAGTATTCTTGGAAGCTGAGAGTGGTGTTTTTGTGTGGTAGATACAAAGGAAAGGGCATAAGAAAGTAGCGAAAGGAGCTCCTCAATTCCCTTCCTTATCTCCTATGCTCTTTTCTGTATTCATTGCAACAGGAGAATACAGGAAAAGGGCCTCCATTCCCCTCTTGTTCTTCCTTTCTTGTGTTTTTGTCATTTAAAGGGGAACAGGAGAAGAGAAGGGAAAGAGAAGGAGAGAGGAGAGATAAAAGGAAGACAATTTTAATGGGAAGAGCCAAGAAAAGAATAGAAAAGAGAGATGAACAAAGAAGATGGAGAGACAAAACAAGGCGCAAAGAAAATGGCACTCTTCTTTATCTATCCTCTCTCCCTTCTCTCTCCCTTCCCTCTTTCTTTTCGAAACAGAAAAACGAAAAAGGAAGAACTTGAAAAGGAGAAGGGTAAGGAAAAGAGCAGAAGAGACAGGCCGAAAAGAGGGATATGATGAAGTATGGGCAAGGTCCACGCGCAAGGAGTCACTCTCTGCTTACCCTTCCACTGCTTTATCATACAAGTTCCTTTCTTGTGTTATATTAGTTAAAAGGTAACAGAAGGAGAGAAGGGCAAGGGAAGTGAGAGAGGAGAGACAACAAGGAGGCCATTTGAATTTTCTGGAGGGGTACTGAAAAGAAGAGAAGACACAAAAAACAAGGAGACGGACAGCACTCTTCTTTATCTATCATCTGTCCCTTCCTTGTCTCTCGCTTTTCCCTCTATAATTAAAAAATAGGTGCCCTCTCTCCTCTTCAGGAAGCCCCCTTGCCCTTATTTTGCTAGCTTTCTGAAACGACAAGGAAAACAACACATAGAAAGAGAGGAAAGGGAATGACACAATAGGCAGTGGAGCTCTTCAGTGTCTTTACCTATCTCTTTTCTTCTTTTTCTTTTTAATTCAATAAGGAAAATTTAAAAGAAGCTTCCTTTGGTGTGATTTTGAGATTCAAAAGAGAACAAGAGAAGAGAAGGGAGAGAGAAAGGAGAGAGGAGAGATCAAAAGGAAACAATTTTCATGGGAAGAGCAATGAAAGTCATGGAAGAGAAATGAAGACAGGAGAGGGAGGTGCAAAATCAGGCAAAGAGAGGATGGTGCTCGTTTTCTTCTTTCCTCTCTTTCTTATCTTTCCCTTTTAAATAGAAAACAAAAGGAAGAACAATGAACATGTAAAGGAACCCATTTTCTTTTTCCGTTTGGGAACAAGGAAAAGAACAGAGGCGATAGGGCGAGAGGAGGGATTTGCTGCAGCGTGGGGAGGGTCTACGGACAAGGAGCCAACCCCGCTCACTTTCCCCATCCATTGGAAAAGAAAGGAACATGGCCTCCATTCCCCTCTTGTTCTTCCTTTCTTGCGTTTTTGTCATTTAAAGGGGAACAGGAGAAGAGAAGGGAGAGAGAAGGAGAGAGGAGAGACAAAAGGATTGCATTGTTAATGGGAAGAGCAAAGAAAAGAATAGAAGAGAGATGAATAGAGAAGAGGGAGAGACAAAACAAGGCGCAGAGAAAATGGCACTCACTCTTTATCTATCCTCTCTTCCTTATCTCTCCCTGCCATCTTTCTTTTCGAAATAAGAGAACAAAAAGGAAGAACTATGAGAAGGAGAAGGGTAAGGAAAGGAACAGAAGAGATAGGCCGAGAGGAGGGGTATGACGAAGTATGGACCGGTCCACGCGCCAGGAGTCACCCTCTGCTTACCCTTCCACTGCCTTATCATACAAGTTCCTTTCTTGTGGTTTATCAGTCAGAAGGAAACAGAAGGAGAGAAGGGAAAGGGAAGTGAGAGGAGATAACAAGGATGCCATTTTTCTGGAAGCGCAACTGTACCGGAATGTGGCCACAACAAGCAGGCCAGGGAGGCTCAGGCGGGGCAAGTCTCTCCCTAATTAGAAAAAATCAACCTTGCTATTCACAGGTAGGCGCCCTTCTTCCTCTTCAGGAAATCGCCTTTCCCTTATTTTGTTATTTTGCTTTTTGAAGCGAATAAGAAAAACAACAAAAAAGAAGAGAGGACAGGGAATGACTAGGTAAAGAGAGGAGCTTTTCAATTTCCTCCCTATCTCTTATGTTACTTTTCCTTCTTGGGCGGGTGTCCTTTTTTCTTCCTTGAAGATGCAGAAAACTATCAAAAAGGACACCCGTTCCATCGCCCACAATTCCCTTCCTTATCTCCTATGCTCTTTTCCTTATTCATTGCAACAGGAGAATTCAGGAAAAGGGCCTCCATTCCTCTCTTGTTCTTCCTTTCTCGTGTTTTTGTCATTTAAAGGGGAACAGGAGAAGAGAAGGGAAAGAGAAGGAGAGAGGAGAGATAACGGAACACAATTCTAATGGGAAGAGCCAAGAAAAGAATAGAAAAGAGAGATGAACAAAGAAGATGGAGAGACAAAACAAGGCGCAAAGAAAATGGCACTCTTCTTTATCTATCCTCTCTCCCTTCTCTCTCCCTTCCCTCTTTCTTTTCGAAACAGAAAAACGAAAAAGGAAGAACTTGAAAAGGAGAAGGGTAAGGAAAAGAGCAGAAGAGACAGGCCGAAAAGAGGAATATGATGAACTGAAAAGAAGAGAAGACACAAGAAACAAGGAGACGGATAGCACTCTTCTTTATCTATCATCTGTCCCTTCCTTGTCTCTCGCTTTTC